TTCTCTTTCTCTTTCTCTCTCTCTCTCTCTCTCTCTCTCTTTCTCTCTCCTTCCTTCCTTTTCATCTCCTTCCTCTCCCTCCTCTCCTCCCCCCCCTCTCTCTCTTTCTCTGTTTCTCTCTCTCTCTCTTCTCTCCTTCCTCCCTCTTTTCTCCTCTTCATCTTCTCCCATCTCTCCCTCCTCTCCCCCCCCCCTCTCTCTCTCGCTTATCCTCTTCCTTTCCTTCTTCTTCTCCTCCCTCTCCTCTCTTCTCTCTCCCTCTCCCTCTCTTCTTCTCCTCCCTCTCCCTCTTTCTCCCCTCCCCTCTCCTCTCCTCTCGTCTCTCTCTCTCTTCATTCTGTGAACCGGATCAACTGGTGACGTCATCCCACCACCTGCTTGCCAACGGCTTCGAAACTACTGTTGATAGTTCAATTACGGTTATCTTGTATGCATTAACATTACGTATATAGCTAGTGTCTACTTGATCTTTCGCTTTATTGGTATCCCTAGTTGAGTAGTTATGTTTTTTACTGATAATCTGTTCATGTAAATAGACAGCTTTCAAGGGCGACACTGTTGCTTGCAGATCAGTGACTAAGGACTGTTTGGTTGCTGTTTTATTTATTACTTTACCATCGTTATCTTTCGTTATCATCTCCCTTTATGAATGAAAATCGTAGATGATAAATCGAGAACCTGAAATGAGAGTTGACAGGTTTGGTGAAATAAAAATGCAAATAAATTATTAAATGATTAATGTGAAGGGGTTACTGAGTTCAGCGTGGGAGATCTTCGGCAGTTGACGGAGACACGATGCATCATTCAAGACAACAAAATTCCCTTTTATGTTGCATCGTTTCCTGTAGTCACTCCATGTCGTTTCGCATCATAGCCTTTCACCGCATGACAAGAAATGTCCCTCCGGTAATTACTGATAACGCAATGCTCATGAGATACCAAATTTGACCAACAACCTACATGTTTTCTCACGTTACAGCAGCAGTTAGTTCCGTATCTTCCTTTGTATTTCGTTTTTTTCGCTTCCTCTGATAATCAATATACTTGCGACTATTGTATGTTATCTAATCTTATCGATTTGTTCCCGTGTTCGATCCAATGGTACACATGAAGTCAGTAAACGGATATTGAAAGACTCAATATTTACTAAGTTGCAACCTTATGAATGGAGCGGGGAGATGTCGCTAGGCGCAGTCAAGGTTAAATAGCGTGGCGTCCAACCGGCTAATCTTTTTGTAGCAGAGGAAGTAGCACATCACCTTATATTCCCGAAGATGCTGTGGACGTCAGACAAAACGTTGGATGTGGCGCTATATGCCATAGTGAGCTACATAGTCGGGCATTTGTTGAACTGTCTTGGCTTACCGAGTTTCTGGATGGTGTTTACTGTGGCCTGGATACTGTCTACTGGCACATGCTTATATCTTGCAAGTCTTGAGGTCAGTTTTTTTGTTGTAAATTGGTATTGGCTGTAGTCAACTACGGTGTTTTACCAATATTATAAATAGAATGTGTGTGTTTTATTGTTTTTATGGTTCAAGTTAAAGGCGGGAACAAAGTTTCTCAAGGACGAGAAAATGGTACATCAAGGCATACAGCTGATGCCAGATAAAATATTTATTAATATAAAACCGATCAGTTGTCAAATATAATTATCCCCAGATATCCCCGGATAAGAAGGCAGTCATCGTGACAGGGTGTGACAGTGGCTTCGGACACGATATCGCACTGCAGCTGGACAAACTGGTAAAAAAAAAATGTTACAGTTTAACTAGTCTATACCTTAAAGAAATGTGGTATACAGCTATACACATGAGGATATTTGTAACCATATATTTTTGTCATTTGGCCCTAGACTTGCAACTTGCAACTCTTCCATTTTCAGCCTACTTCACGTGTTTTGTTCTTATCACTTATTTCAGAAGCGATATTAAGCAATTTGATACAGAAAATGCAAGCATGTATATACAAACTCAAGGTGACTTTCTCTTAGGGCTTCAGGGTGTTCGCAGGATGTCTTCTGGCAGATGCAGGAGGCCAGGGCGCCAAGGACCTGAGGGAAAAGGGGTCTGAGCGCCTCAAAGTCCTTCAGATGGATGTCACTTCGACCGATCAGCTTGAAGAGGCACTGAAGGACGTCGAGAAGCTCCTTCCTGACGACGGTAAGTCTTTCGGGGTCATGAGCCCTTCGTCAGTAAAAATAAAATATCTACCGCCTCTGTACCGAAGAATACGGTTGTTTTCACACAGCTAATGTAAACACGCTCGCAGGGACGTCATTTCAGCTTTTTCTTGGGGAGGGCAAGGGTGGCTAAGCGAGCGAAGAGACAAAGAGAAAATATTCTAGGTTCATTTTAAAGCTATAAACGGGTCTATATATATGAAATGCAATTTTAAAAGGGGGGAAATGTGATCCAGGGGGGGGGGGCAAACCAGATATTGAGGGAGAGGTAACAGAATCCAGCCCCCCCCCTCCCACCCACCCCTATTAACGCCACTGCCCACACACCCAAAGTAACGTTTCCCTCAACAGAAGTGCTGTGGGGAATAGTCAACAATGCGGGTATTGCCTTCGTGGGCGCCGTGGAGTGGGTCTCTTTAGAGAAATACAAGAGGACCGCAGAAGTGAACTATTTTGGACTTGTAGCTGCTACGAAGACTTTCTTGCCTCTCATCCGAAGGTCGAAGGGTAAGCATCTTAGCTCGAGACGTGGAACAAGATTTCCGTATGAAATGATATAAAAACTCCCCTTTCCCTCAAAAACGAGATGAATAAATAGAATAAAGATGATAATAAATAATTAAAAGATTAGAACTAGTTGTACCATAAAACATATTAAGCATTTTACAAACCCAAGTATCATATTGCATTATCTTTGTTATACCTTACTCTTTTGATACAAAGGTCGCGTTGTGAATATCGCAAGTGTTCTAGGAGGCATGGGCTTAGCTTGGTTCGGCTCCTACGGCGGCACCAAGCACGCTGTGGAAGGCTTTTCCGACTGTCTCAGGTAACCTTCTTTCCCCCAAAGAATTCGTTAAGATTTTGGCGTTGACGTAGTTTATTAGCACAGCTTGCTTGTTACTATTTGCCTGCTGATCGATAGGAATTGTAGATATATATTGTATAAACTTTCTGAAGCAATACGAGTAAACTAACTTTTTTTAAATAAAAGAAGTGTTTCTGAGTAGCGAGAACTACAGTCAATATGAAAGCATGCTTAGGTATTTACATTAATTTACATTTATTACAACCGATGAAAATGACTATAACTATGCTACCACAACCAAAAAATGATTCTTTTTTTTTTAGACATTTGCTTTCATTTGCAAATATAACTCCATTCCTTTCTATACAGACTGGAGATGAGGAAGTTTGGCGTGAAAGTGTCCCAGATCGAGCCTAGCAGTTATCTCACAGGTAAAGGGATTTTTTTTTTACAGCAGAATAAAATAATGCTCATATTGGATGATAATTAATAATGATATAATAATGTTGATAATAACAATAATAACAAAATAACAACCATAGTAATAATGTAAATGATAATAATTATAATAATACTGAAAATACAAAGGTCCTCGGATTGTGCCATAGCATACCATTTTCCTGCACTGCCCACCAGTTCACAAATCACAAACTATTCTGCAAATTTCATAAAGAATTATTTTAATAGAATTGCCGGGGATGAAATGATACATTGAGACCTGCAACACCAGTTCAGTATGGAACAGGAAAGTAATGTTGCAGCAAAAAAATCACGATGATTAAGTTACAAGAATCATTAGCAATGAACAGGTTCAATAATCATTACTGTCGTCTGATTGGATTCAGAAATGACCTTAGTCCTTCGACATAAGCAGCAAACAAACAGTTCACACAAAAATAAACACGAACAAAATCATCCTCACACAGAACACAAAGCAAATAATCACACACAGGAATAATATACCTGTCATTAATATGTCTATGAACTGTTCCGTATTCATCTTGTTTCGTATTTTTAGCCACGCAGCTCCTGACGAAGGAAAGGATAACCGGCCAGGCAGACGAATGCTGGGAGGGCCTGAGTGAGGAAATAAGATCGGCGTATGGCGAGGAGGCCTTCCGGAAAGCCTACGAAGGATACATGAACCATGGGGTGAGTCTCAGGGTACATGAACCATGGGGTGAGTTTTAGGGTACATGAACCGTGGGGTGAGTCTCAGGGTACATGAACCATGGGGTGAGTTTTAGGGTACATGAACCATGGGGTGAGTTTTAGGATATAATAACCATGGGGATGAGTTTAGGGTACAACAACCACGGGGTGAGTTTTAGGGTACATGAACCATGGGGTGAATTTTAGGGTACAATAATCATGGGTTGAGTCTTTGGGTACATTAGCCATGGGGTGAGTTTTAGGGTACATGAACCATGGGGTGAGTTTTAGGGTACAGTAATCACGGGGTGAGGTTTAGGGTACATAAACCATGGGGTGAGTCTTAGTACATAACCACGCGTGAGTCTCAGGGCAAATGAACCATGGGGTGAGTTGTAGGGTACATGAACCATGGGGTGAGTTTTAGGGTACAGTAACCACGGGGTGAGTTTTAGGGTACATGAACCATGGGGTGAGTCTTAGGGTACAATAACCACGGCATGAGTCTCAGGGCAAATGAACCATGGGGTGAGTTTTAGAGTACAATTACCACGGGGTGTCTTTGGGTACATTAGCCATGGGGTGAGTTTTAGGGTACATCAATTTTGGGGTGAGGATTTGGGTATAATAACCATGGGGTGAGAGTTTTAGGGTACAATAACCATGGATTGAGTCAAGGTATATTAACCGTGGGGTGAGTTTTGGGGTGCATTAACCACGGGGTGAGTCTTATTATTCTTACTATTACTATCCTCATTAATATAACATATTAAGGCTCATCCAATCTCGAGCCAATTTTGTAGATAAGAAAGAGAGCACTGAAGCTGACAACCAGCGAAAATGCGAGAGAGTGATATA